CTAATAAGCATGTAAGCTTTTTTGTTTAAGTTTTTAAGCTATTGTTTTCCTTAAACATAAAAAGGATGACTTCTTGGGTTGTATTTCCGAACGTAAGGAATTTATAGGTTGTTAGATATTCTTGAATTCAAAAGTCGAAATTTTTTAGATGTTTATATTTTCGTAGGCTAATTGTAGCTTTACATTATTCAGTGTATTTTTGTTTAGTTAACAATACAAGTTTCCGACTTTCATAGTTATGATTCCTCGTGCTTATTATGTGTTAACAGTTTCTGTTCTTATATTGTTGACGCGAGCTATCAATAAATGTTGACAATAGAATTTAATGTAAGTTATTCCATTCTCTTTTTCTCTTATGACCCAGAGTTGATTTGGTTGTGCCACTGTAGCAAAGGCAGGCGATGTGGATGGTCCTGACTTATGACGAAAAAAAAAAAAAAAAAAAAAAAAACAATTGTAACTTCATTATTAAGTTTTGGAGGTGGCTTGAAGGTAACTTTTAGTCTTGTTTTTGCTTCTTAAAAGATTTCTCCACAAAATCCTTACCATTTTATGAAGTTAAAATAAGAGTGAATCTCCGGCGAGTAATTTATTAAAAATCGACAATCGTATAGCAAGAAGGGCCAAGCTAAGTAACAGATGAGTCATATAACTAGTCAGTATTGAGTAAGGTATGGAGAAGTGCAATCTGCTCATTCCATAACCACCGTGTTTCTTGAGATGATTCCTTGCTATCTTTGATCATTTCATCGCACAGTAATCGCACAATCAGTAAAACTTCATCCTCTGTTATAGTCTCCGTTTCCTCATAGATGACATTCGCCCAGTGCTTTCTTCATTTGAAATAAATGAAAACTTTTTAAAGATTGCTTTGCCGCAAATATATCAAAATAGTCTTTACGCTCGTCATTAAGAATTTTTTAAATCAGGGAATCCGGGCGGGTTTTAAATCTCATGTTTAAGAAAAACAACTTAAAAACTTGAATCTAAGGAGACTGACGGCCAATCTTTAAGTAAGGATCCAAACATGAACGGCCAGAGATCATGATTCACTGAACTGAACAACAATAAAGCTAAAAATTATATAGGAACTCACAGTTTCGAGCAACTCATTTTCAGCAGTGCTAAGTTTGCCTTAAATCCAAAATTTGGCTTCGCATCACTGGCATATATAGAACTGAAAATTATATTAAAATCTGGTAATTGATGCGTGCCTGAATATGACGATATGTTATTTCAAGTTCTGCTGATTTAGTATCAGCACTTGAATACTCTATCCGCTATTTGAGAAGTCCTTTTCTTGAATGGCGCTTTTGAAATTCAGAAGATATAAAAATGTGAACTGATTTAGGATCTATATCGTTTTCTGAAGTTATTTCAATTGAAGTAACCCCAGATAGAGTATATTATTCATTAGATGACAGATGAAACAATATGAAAGATTACACGCTGTGTATGGAATCTTAAGGCTCAACAAACAAAGAAAAGGTAAATAAAACACCTGTAGATTACCATGGGAAATTTGCTTGGAAAATTATTTTTCTGTGTAAGTCTGAAAAACTGATCCCAGCAGCACTCGCAAATCGCATGAAGTCTTCTAAAAATATATTACTAAACTGGTAATTTGAACAATAACATGCATTCTAATCTCTTTTTTTACTTGTTGAGTCCCTTAAAAAAGACATTTTCTATGCCTGTAATCAAATATTTAATTTTTAGTTTACCATAGCTGAAAGTATTCGTAGCGAAGATTTCATATGTCAAAATTTATTATCATGGCAAAGGACAATTGGAATACCACCGCTATCAGTAATGTTCAAAATTAAACTACCAAGCGAGATTTCAACTTTGTCGCAGATATTATCTTTCAGATAAAAACCATATTCAATCCACAGTGATCCATTTGTATGACTACCATAACAGATGAATATCTGTTCTCCTTTACGGATTGGTCGAGTAACAATCACTTTATACAGATTGAATTTGCTATCCCAAATCGCGCAGCACTAAACAACAGAATGTAGCATTTTGGAAAATCTGTTCCTTCAAACTATTTTGAAAGGAATTTAGGACTTCAATTAGAACCAATCATTAGATTAATTTAAAACAATTAAAGGAACAGGATCACATTTTTTTTAACAGCAATAACAGCAACTCATAAATTAGGTGATATACCTGACTATCATTGCTGTGATTCAACATGTCGATAAGAGGTACAATTGCAAGTGAATCATCTTCAGTGTTGTCAATCAGTGGGTGAAGTTTGTTATTACGATATATGCACCTAGTATTTACAATATGCCAAGCCCATAAAAAATGATCCCAGATCGTATTATCTGCTAATATCGTCACAAACTGCGAATAGAAACAATTATGCGAAATGAGTTCTTCTGCAGTTCCTTTCATAACGAATCTAGCCTAGGTCTGAGCTTCGACCTCATCTGGTTTCAAAGAAATTCTAATCTTTCATCCATTATAAATAAAAAGAAAAAGGATCTTCTTTCTTAAGGAAAAAATCATATACATTATTTAATAATGAAAGCGTACCTTTTCATACATTATCTTTAATTCGTTCTTCTGCACATACCATTGCTTCCTTAAGCAGTATGGAAAATCTTCTGGTTTCAAACTCGGGTGTAGGCTAGCCGGTGTTGAGAATGACTTCGGAAGCACTTCCAGATAGGGAGTCCACTTTGAATTCTGCTCTTTCTCTACCAAGAAGAAATACACTAATGCTTCGAATGGTTTTAAACAGTATCTAAAAAAAAAAAAAAAAAACAATATTTAGGACAAAAAGATGTTACTTTTCATTATGCAAGAGACTAAGGAAATGCTTCATTTAATACAAAAACTTTAAGAGAGGCGCTGCCAATAAACGTCATTGCATTTTAGATAAGAACTGCAACATTTTCGGATTTCAACATCCCTTCAACTAGATTTTATAAACTACGTCACCAACTTCAAAGTGATCAGAATGGGCTCAATTCGTTCGAGTTCGTGGTAGCCCTATTACCTTGGTCTTTTTCAGGAATATTACAACACATATTAGATGCTGTAATCATCAAGTCAAACTGAACCTTTTGAACACATCACAATAATCAGGCATTTCTGCAATAAATCCAGCAGTAATGATAAGTCCAACTGGTATGCTAATTATTGTTTCATTCTCTCGAAAATCTGTCGTTGCAAACAATCCCTTCCCACCTTCATTTGAACAATCCCTGATATCGATTCCAAAATGGTGAGCACCATTTCCAACCGCCCATTCCATAAAACCTGTACAATCCATACAGAGTAAACTACTACCTGCAAAACTCTGCCAATTTGTACGCGCAACTGCCTACCAAACCGAGATAACAAGTTGGTGCACGTGGGTCAAAATGAAGGCTGAATGCAAAGGAAAAAGTTCGCCCATCATAAAAAACAAAAAAACAAAAAAAAAGGAAACAACATGAAGACACTATTCATAAAATGAAGTTAATGGCTTAATCTAAGCCACAATTTAGTTTACAACTTATTCCACTCACAACAGAAAGATAACTCACAAAGCAAAAGTTTGAAGCCAGTGCAATATGTTCTGGAAGGTGTCAGTTGTTCAACATTAAAAGATGCGAATAAATAAAATTATTTACTTGAGTCAAGCCTAGTAACATTTCACATAGTGATTCATCGAAAACATTAATAATGGTGCGCATTTAGTTTAAGGCAACTTGCAAACAGGCAACAAAAAATAACATTGAATCTATTAATAAAATGAATATAAAGACAATAGGGTAGTAAACAACAGATAATGCCACTACTAGCAAAGGAATATAACCCACGAGCTCCTCCTAATACTTTGAATTATAAACAGGCAACAAGAAATAATCACGACCATACATCACATTAATTGGAGTAGCCTCTTCCACCTACCAACTAGCTCATTTCTTACTGCTCAAGAGTGTTATTGCGCAGAAAATTATTTACCCTAATTCAGCTTGTTCGCAGCGTCCTAGTAAAAAGGTAACTTCCTATAAATTCTATCACAAACTGATTTTGAGTGCAACTCGACTCCTCACTCTTGAGCCACGAAACACTGCGTAAAATGAAAAAAAAAAAAGCTAAGTTTCAATGATTTTCATTTCCCGTCATAAGCTACTCTGACCAATCACATAAGAAATATACTTCCTAAATTAAGAACATATTGATCAAATACTGAGAATATGTAATGACACCGCCTCTACAATCCCGAAAATCCCAGCCCTAAAAAGAAAACATGGGATGAATCTAATACTTATTTTTGCAGAAAACAGTGCAATTTGTAAGCCAGTTCAATCGCCAGAAATAACTGTGGAAAACTAACAAGCAGACATTAACCTTGCGAAACCCATATTAAGTACTAAAGGCAGAAGTAGTAATCATTTCAAAAATCGACAACGCGTAACCTCCACGAATTTTTTTCATTCACTAAAGATAATTCACGGTCCAGGTAGTCAAGATAAAATCAAGGACGCTTTTGTTTAACACTGCCAATTTGATTACAACTGGCCGTTAATTCAAATGCTGTAGTCTAAACCAAACTAATGAATATAGAAAAACATAAATAGGACTTTTATCACATGTGAAATAAGAACCTATGAAGTATGAAAGTGAAGAAATGCAAAAGTGATACAACGAATCAGTCGCCTAATGACACGAACAATGTTGTTCAAAAACTAGGGCAAGTAAAAGTTAGCTGCCGATGAGATCAGAATAACAATGAACATTAATATAAATGGAAATAAACATGAATTTTAAGCACAGTGAACCATAATAAACTTTTCTCATCACCATGACATTCCAGCTAAAGCCATTCGATCGAATGTGCGCCATTATAAACAAAATTTACAGTTCGAATACACATATCTTATTCATTATAATGCAAAAAGATCCAGTCACATTATTACGCCATTTCAGTTCCTTCTTTAAAATATTATTCTGCCTGAGATCCACAACTAAATCAGAACAAAATATAACTGAAACTATCGCACAAGACAGTTATGCGACAAGAATGTTGAGCGTATTGAAAACTGCCTCGCATCATTCAACAAACGTTCAATCTTTGATATTCCATTGCCCATACTATCAACGAATGCTTTCAGACATTTTTTAACATCTTGCATTTCCTCACATAAATCTTGCGCATCAAGACGTTGCATGATTTCTTCGGGTGATTCTAGTCTCCTTTTTCTTCTTCCTTCACTATCGCTTTCCTGGTTTAACAAAAATACTGATCACTGACAAAAGTGAAATGATTTCAATAAAATTTCTTTTCAATCACGTTCACCTATTTTTTGTTAAAATCCTGCGCTTATGTCTACATGATAATGTTACTGTCAGAAAATTCGCTCCCATTTACAAGAATTCATTACCGTTTCTTACCTGCTTACTAGTTTCATTCTCTGTATCCTGTGAGCATTGTGCAACCACAGAGTCGATGATGGAACAGATCGTCTCGATTAAATCAGCCGATTCACTTATGTTTTCATTGCCAAATCTTTTCCGTTCCAAATACAGAAGCAATTCAAATGTTGAATTAAGCTTCGTTGAGGCAATTTTAGCGGCAGAACTATTTTTCTGTGGATACAAATTGCACATCTGGCATTGCTAAAATGGTACTTAATGGAAACAATTGAAAATAATTCATGTATGAAATTACAAATTGATTCATATTAATTTTGTGTGAACTGAAAGATTCAACAGCTGTTTAGTTAATGTTTTTGTAAGATGCTAAAAAATACTAGACAGACACTTCTATTTTTTAAGAGAACTCCTAAAGAAACAAACCTTATTATGAGGTAAACCTCCTACACGTGATGTGCCTGCACCAGTTGCGGTGATTGCATCAAATCGACCCCAGTTGAGTGGTACATTTTCTGTATAATATATCTCTACCCAAACATTTTTATTTACCCAAAATTCGGGCTCAAACATTGGAGGTCTGAATACAATCCGTAAAAATGGATTGGAATCTGGAGCCAACTTAATCAAGCGTTGCATACAAAAAATATCAGTCTGAAATGGTAGACTTCCTACAAAACGCTGCTGAAAGCTACAGCAAACGACATGAAAAGGAATAAAAATGAAATCTTATTTAAATATCCGATGTGTTCCACAAAAAATATAAAAATCGACGTAACTCACATCTGAATGCTTCTCGCAGATTACAACAGTAACATAATGTGTTATATAGTTGCAGTAGAAATCGCAAAAGTACATGTTTACACGAGATGGATCAAGTAGCGTCATGGCTGGCACTAACATTCGAACATTGCCAAAAGGTGAATGGGTTGGCAAACTTCCGTCAGGCAATAGTCGAGCGGAAAAAAATAGACCTATAATTATAGTTGTAGATTGGCTGACACTTTTTACAGTGACAAGAAAACCTCAATACAACTCAATCGCACTCTCGAGCAATTTCTTGTGATATACACAAATATGGACATTACAGTGTTTTTGCAATATATTGTAGTAACATTCCAAATGTGTAAAGCAGTCTACAACATAACACATATTTCTGTAATTTTCATAATGACGACTACATAAACGTACCGCTTATAGCACCATTGATTGACGATGCTGCCTGACCATTATTATCTTTCATGTATTTTTCCATTATTCCCCCACGGTGAAACTAATAAAAATTACGTGTAAAGCGAATTTACTACAAAATTCAATTCTCAATAACTTATCTGACGAGAATTACTAACGTCTGCTGTTGCATATACCAATTATGACTGTAAAAACAAAATTTCATTGAAAAATAATAAAAGTACTACCATGTAAGTAATTCTGGGCACCTCAAACCCTTTAAGCTATGTAATGCAAAAAATAAAAAGAAAAACTGCATACACTGTAACGTGCACACACAAATCTGAATACCTGTATATCGTCATAATAAATCTTTGGCTTGCAACGATAGAGAAAGCGGAACGAATGCATAACTGTCCCTACGAAATCTAACGACTTCTTGTAAAGCCACTGCATTTCTTCTGCTGAGAAAACTAAAATAAACCTTTACTGCAAAAACATTTTTTTTTTTCCAGTAAACTTAGTGCCATCTTTCATATGTTTATGTTTCATACTTTAAGCATAACCACGAACCCGCTTTCATACAAGTTGTTCCAAGAGCAACAACAGTATTATTTGCATCACGTGCGGATAACTCAAGCTGAAAAATGATTTCATTGGAGCAGCAAACATCAGTTTAAATTAAACACAAAGAAAATTAGGCAGTATTTTTCTAAAACCACGAATACTTTTTCGACACCCAAAAATTTACGTGAACATCTCTGATTGCTTACCTCACGTGATGAACCCCAAGTACACAAACAAAATGAATACATCACCGACATTTCTCAAAAGCGAGACCCAAAGATAAGCACGATTATTGAAAAAATCATAAAAAACACTATTAAAGAATTATGATCATTTCAATTGATTGCTTTATTCAATGAGACTCGCTGGTGCAAACAATTTGTTAGTGGGAATTTTAATTATTGATATAATTTTATTAGCCAAATTTTAAGCAAAGGCAACAGTGTTGCTATTCAGAATTCTGCCTAAAAAATTTCTTTCCTATCAGTAACATATTACATGGCTCAAATCAAGACATTCAACATTACTACTTACCTTATATACTGTACCCGGTGTAGTTTTTAATTTGTACGATACAATGTGTGCTGGGAAATCATACGTGTCGCACTTAACCCCTTCCCAAACTTCCAATTTGTATGCATATTTTAGCGTTTCTAGAATTGATTTAGAACTGCTGATAGGAATGAATCTGAATAACTTCTTATAAAAAAGTTAAAATGCATGGAGTACTGTGACTAACTGGCATTCTGAATACATAAACATAATCTTACATTTACGGCTTTAGTTATCTTCTGATTTTGTAAATCCTCCTATTCTTACTACCTGGGTTGAACATTTCTGATGCCAACTAATTACTTATTCAGTTCCAGAATACACAAAGAACAAACTCGGGACCGCTGGTGATTTCCATTCTATGTTACATTTTAGTGCTGAGGTTTGAACACTGATATTTATTGGTGTAGGGCGCGGGGGTGCAGAAAAATCTTGGTAGAGTGGTACATTGGGAGGTCGTACGGGACGCAGTGGTGGAGGTGGCATTCCTGGACCTGGAAAAACATATTACTCACTGCATTAAATCGTTCATGCTTCCACTTTGTTTTAGCACATTTTCTTCGTTTTAATATAAGCATTATAAAACTACGTTCATCCCACTGAACACTTTTTCTATACTCAGTGATTTCTGACTAGATACTAAAAGATTTCCTAAACATTTTTTGTATAAACTGCTTTAAGACCAATAACTTCAAAGTTTAATTGAAAGATTCTAACAAATATCAAACGAAAAGAACCTAACAGTTACATATGAGGATCACAACGACTTCTATGCTGCAAAATGACTGATATAAAACGTCTGTCATGTCTGTCAGCAGTTTTATTGATTCTACTGGACTGTAGAAATACTAACCAGCATGTGGAGTCACAAGTTCAAGCGGTATCCTTGGTACACGAAATGGAGGTGGAATACCCATGCGTACCATATTTATATCCGGTTTCATAAATGGCGGTGGCATGTCCGGCGGACGAGCATAGGGAAGTGGGAAACGTGGCGGTCGACGCTGCCATGACAGTACCGGTCGATAGGTCGACCCTATTTCAGGATATGGAAAATCGAGTTCGTTCCACATTCTAGCTTGAATGTGCACAACTTTGTCATGTGCTGTTACCTTCGGTTATCCTAAAACCAACATCATAATGTCCATCAAATACAGTGAGTACTGACTTGTTCCACCGCAATTGTACCACATGACTTTAAATATCATAGAAGAAAGTAATAATGAACAAAAAAAAGGATGTAAGGGATATTTCAAGAATTAAAATGCCACTAATCTGATGAATAGCTAACAAACAGCCAGGCTGACACGCTCGTATTAAGGAATCACATATCACATACCCAGTTTCGTATAATCCCGGAACTGTCATTCCACCGTAGACAACTGATATTTAAGAGATTTTTGTAACAGATCGCTAGGAATCGTTGCAAGATCCAAATTGTTTTTGGTAGCGCAACGTCTAACACCTTTTCGTTACCCTGTTTAGCCTTGGCTGATTTATTTGAATGGTAATAGAGTAGGAAAGACTAGATGAATTAGGAAAGAATTAAAGAATATGCAGGAAAAACACTTAGTCACTGGATTATAGACAAAGACTAATTTGCAAATCATCTATCGATATTTGCACTCTCCTACTAGATAATTGGCATTTTATTTGAAATTAGTCAAATAAAAACTGAACTGAACCAACCCCAGAAAGGCAAGAAGCGGAAGAACAACCAAAATCGTAAGCTCGCTCATAAGTGAGCGCAATTAGCAGAGTTGCTCGATCATATGTTTTCAACAGCATATTCGTTTATTACTGATGAGCATATGGAATTCTTTTTTTCAAATAATATAGTAGCCGCTGCCAAAGTAAGATTAGTACTCATGAATTCCGGCCAAGGAAATACCCATCCATTCGATAGACCAATGAAACAATTGCAGAAGAGTGTCCCGCTCTAGCAGTAGAAGTGCGTAACGGTAATCACATCGGCAGTGGAGCATATTCTGGCATACGGAATACCGTTGATATTATAAGATTGCTCGTCGGGATATTTCTGTTGTTAAAAGAGTAATTATTGCTGGTTTTTTGTCTTTTGTCTTTTTTTTCTTTGTAAAGCAATGATTTATTAATTAATTGGCATCAGAATTGTCCATCTTATTACCATTGGTTTTTTTTTTTTTTTTATTAGACTCTTTAGAAAACGCAAATCTCTCGCTTAGAAATTCAACAGTTGTGGTTGTCTCCCCTTCATTTCGGTACTTGGATTTTGTGAATCCACTCTTTGCTTAAGATAAAATCACAGCAGATAAATCTGAGACCTTAGAATGTCTACAATTCATTTCTTTCTTGGATGTTACGAGCCTTGACTCGAAACGCTGTTTCAAGGAATTTGAAAAAATCGACAGGTGCAGTGGTTTTGGGATTTCTACAGAATACAAAATCCTAAGATAAAGAACGCAAAATGATTGATTAAAGCATACGTGTAGAGAAAAGTGACTTAGCGGTAAAAGTACAACACGTAAGAGGATATTACAATAGCAAGCAGTATAGCACTTCTCAACTAATAAAAAAGCTGGAATGAACATGATGATTGAGCGAGAAGTGTGATATGAACAGACCGAGTGGCATTATGTGACTGGAATCGTGAATTTGGTCACAAGCATTTCCTTGCCAGTTAATTCTCGTAACTGTAAGTGCTTCATTTCGTTTGTATGAACGAGTAGTACCACAATCGCTCGTTTTCTTTTCTTCCTGAAAAGAGGCTGACATTAACGTCAGCAATAATATGACAATCGTGCTTAAAATCATTTTTAAATTATCGTCCCATATTGTACTCTTGGAAACCTGATGAATCTGATTGTGAAGAACGCATACATGCTAAAACTCGTGCGAAATGAAAATCAAAGAGCAGTTCAGTTTGAATGTAATTACTGATTGATGGATCCCAAATAAAGTGGCAAGGAAGCAAAATATTAGACGTTTTCAAAAACATTTCCAACATCTTTCTAGATAGCATGGTTCTGCAAAATTATTTTCGGTAATTAGATTGGTTCTGTGAGAAGATTTAGATGCTACCTAGGCCAACACCATGAGTGATAGGCCAGTGGCGCTCACCTAACCAAAAAACTTGCATGCAAACTCGAGTGGCGTAAGAAATAGGCAGTGCATCCATCCCCTTAAATCCAGTGGTTTTGAAGAACCTTGCATTTCTCGTCCTCACCTTCGATAACCACTTATTCAAACTCCAGACTGGGCTTTGTCCCATAGCACGAATAAAATTTTCAAAAAGGGTCGACGTAGCACAGCTCGAACCATCGAATTTTCTGAATAAGTCGCAATCGATTGTCTGTGCATAATGTCCAGCCTAAATCTGGATTGATGGCTGCGGGAGGTGGTGTTCGGGTGTGTGGGAGGGGGTAGGGAAATGAGGAGTCAGAGGTTTTAGAGGGCATAGCAAATTGAGACGTTAATGAGATTCTGAAGGAGTAGTGACCGGGAAGTACATTCTCTGCTTCCCTTGTGGCCGATGGTGCTGACCAGGTTTGGACAGGCTAAATGCGCGATTTGTTATGTATCTCTCGAATAGGGACTGTTTGCAAAGAAACACTCTAATATTGTTCCTTGATTACAAATAAAAGCAATGTCGTTTGGTGTTCCGTACTGTTTGGTTGACTACTCTGGGGAAATCTAAGGCTTCAGTATTTGCTTCGTAAGGTATAAGTCTGTACTAACTCTGGTGTCGATTCTCAAACTGTGGTTGTTATGGCTCGTGAAGATGGTGTTGAATATGTAGGCTGGATTAATATTCACTTTTATATTATACATGTATTGACGGTTGGTTGTGTTTAAAAGGTGTTTTTTGTCCCATATTTGGATGTGTCTTTCTAATTCATGAAGGGAGGTTCTCTTTTTTTTTGAAAAAAAGATCGTGTGAATCATGTCCGTTTATTTATGTTTGCAGAGGTAGAGGAGTTCAGAAAAGACCTCGGATCCTCGGAGTGGTACGTTTGGGTTCGTGCCTCGGTTGCTGGATAGATTGTGCCCGAGTGTCAATTGTCTGGTATGTTAATCTAGATCACAATATTACTGCTGATACAATGTACTTTTTTGGTTCTGGAGACAAACTTTCATTAATTGGACTGTAAGATCTGTAGGATTGTTTTCGTAGTGTCTATTCTACTGGTGTATCAACTGTGTGCGCAAACTACTGTGCCCAAGGTGGATTGCAATACTGATGCAGAACCATTTCGTTTAATTCATTGCATATAAGCCTGAATGCAGTAATTGCCTTGGGTTATTTCTGACTTTTTTTTTCAAGAGAAGTTTGAGGTCTTGGAATACTAGTTGGTGTTGTGTGTCGTAGGTGGTTTTCTCTCCATGTATATGTTAGTTTTTATTAACATGTTTTGTAGTTGTCATCTTGTTAATTGGCGATGTCAGACGGCAGTAGTGGTGATGATCGGCACCCTCCACATGGAGAGCAAGAACTCGCAAGCAAAATGCTGCAAGTGCAAAGTAAACGATTTTATGTTGATGTGAAGCAGAATAACCGAGGTCGTTTTATCAAACTTGCGGAAGTGAGTTCACGAAAATTGGATCAGCAGATAAATTAGCGTTGGGTTGCAAAGTAGTCGTGTTATTTCAAATTATCATGCTTTTGTGAGGAAAAAGAATTCAAATATTTTCTGCTTGATTTAATCAGAAGTTGTGCTAATCTCTTCCACATAACTCTCCTTGAGACTAATCTTGTTCAAGTTTTTAGTGCTCAGACATCTTATAGTGTGATTTAATTCAGGTTGGCTTAGGAGGGCGTAAGAGCCGTTTAATATTGTCAATGAGTGCAGCAGTTGCGTTTCGTGATCATCTTGATAAATTTGTCAAGTTCTTTGATGGCCTAGGTATTTCGTATGTTTCATCTTTGTCAGTGTTTCTTTTTTTTCTTTTCCAAGCTTATGCGATTATTGAAGTTTATTACTTCTGTGCTGGTTAAAATGTTTTCCTCAACATCAGCGTAGTAAAAGTGGGAACTTTATTTCTGTTAAGTTATTGGAACTGAAGTTTTCCAATATAAAGAGAAGGGCAGAAAGTCTCGAAGAAATTAGAATTTGTTCTGAAGAATTTCGCGGATACTGAGGTTATTGTTTGGCCGACTCTACATCGCTGTCATCAGAGAGTTCTTGTACTTTTTGTTAGTAAATTTTAATGGAAAAAAAAGGACCAAAACTGATTTATTGCATACTGCAGCTTCTGGTGATGAGCCGATTGTGAGTGAAAATGGGCAGTTGAAGTCAGAAATCATCGTTCATGAGTCGCGTCGATATTACCTTAGTTTGAAAGAAAATCAAAGAGGGCGTTATTTACGTGTTTCTCAAAGAGTTTCGCGAGGCAGCTCAGGTCCTCGTCTACAAGTGAGTTTTCTAAATGTGTAGTTTATGATTTAGAGCTAACAAAGTGATGATAAAGCAAGCACTGGTGATGACTGATGCGTTTAAATATGTTTGTAGATAGCATTACCTGCACCTGGCATGACCCAGCTTCGCGATGCATTGAATGAACTGATTGATAAATATGCAGAGGGATATCTTAATGAAGTAAGTTGTTAACTTTCGTTCTAATTGCGAGGAAGTATTGAGAGTTCCGCGATTTCACTACTTTTCCATAGTTTATGTTTCACATATGTTACAATTTTTTTATAGAGTGATGCAAACGTAGAGTTGCCCGAACCGAAACATGTACGCGCTGAAAATAATAAAATTTTCTATTTCGATGTTGGGCATAATGAGCGTGGCACGTTTGTACGTATATCCGAGGTGTTTTTTTTATTTTTTGAATTTAGTCATCATCAGTCTTTCTGTTCAAACGTGCTCAACCCTCCTGTCTTATCGTGTCTTATTACTTCAATTTTTAGGTTAAGCAGATTTCTGGAAGTCGTTCTTCAATTGCAGTGCCTATGAGCTCTTGGGGAGCTTTTCGAGATGTTCTAGCGGAACTGCAAGAAAAAATGATGGTTACAAAAGGAGTCGAAAATGATACTGAACGGACGATCAAATCGGATATCAAGTTGGAGCATAATAAAGAATGATTATTT